CGAGCGCCTTTGTTCCCCACCAAACTGAGCTCTGTCGTCCGGGGGCTCAGCAGCTCTCCCTCCCTTTGTCCTCCAGCCTTCCCACTTTCCGAGCAGAGCTGTTAACTTATGACCTCCCAGACGCTAAGTCGCGCTTGCTGTTGGAACACACTCTGTCCGGCCCCTCCGCTTTTGCCAGCCAGACTCGGGGGGTGTGCTTGGCCGGCAGGCTGCCACTCCGTCCTGGCTCCCTCCCGCCAGTCCGTGGAGCGCGCACCGCCTTGCCGCCCTTCCTACCCTCTTCCGTGGGCCTCTCGTCTGCGCTTGGCTCTGGAGACTCCGTTCTTCTAGTCTTCTGGTGGTTTTCTGGGTTATTTAGGCAGGTGTAGGTGAAATCTAAGTGATCAGCAGGACGCGCGGTGAGCCCAGCATCCTCCTACGCCGCCATCTTCCTATCCCCACAGAAGTCTTAATCTTCTTACTCCTCTGAATACCGTTAACCCATTTCCTACCAAAGTGACAGCTTTAGGAGAGAACTCTCTGCACTGGCCATGTTATAGCAAAGTGCCCCTCCATCAGGGCCCAAAGAGAAGTTTGATCTTTTCTAGAATTAACCTAAGGAGTGTGACTCAGGAAATATGGGCAAGGCCCCGGCCAAAAGCTGGTGGCTGGATTTGAGAATGGAGGTTGAGGGAAGGGGAGGGGACTCAGCTGCGACACTACATCAGTGTTGCCTGGCTGTTATTATCAAAGACTTTTTGGGTATCCTGAGACTGGCCCGGTTCAGGTGATAGAACACCACATTCTTGGCAGATAAATGTTGAAGGTATCCTGGTTGGAGCTTAAGCCATGTAAGTTTTGTTTTATTTTGTTTTGTTTTGTTTTTTAAACGTTTATTTATTTTTGAGACAGAGAGAGACAGAGCACGAATGGGGGAGGGTCAGAGAGAGAGGAAGACACAGAATCCGAAGCAGGCTCCAGGCTCTGAGCCATCAGCCCAGAGCCTGACGCAGGGCTCGAACTCACAGACCGCGAGATCATGACCTGAGCCGAAGTCGGACGCTCAACCGACTGAGCCACCCAGGCGCCCCAAGCCATGTAAGTTTTAAATAAAGAAAATGGATGGAAAAAGAGGGTAGAGAAGGGGAGCAAAAGGTAAAGAGAGAAAGACGAGGCACTGCCAAGTAACGTGGCATGAAAAGGCAAAACAGCTCAGAACTGGGAGGAAAGTGGCTTGTGTGAGTTGGGTAAAATGTTTTCTCTGGTCTCGTTTCATGGTAAGTAATGGAGTTGGTTTACATGCTCATTAAGGTTTATCCTAAGTGCAAAATCTCTGATTCTGATTCTACTGCCTGTCCAGATCCTCTTGGTCATAGACCCAGTGTCACAATAGCTATAAACAAGAGCCACAGAACTGATGTGTCCTGGATGTAGGCAATGTAAATTTAGGACCAGACTGGGGCAGATCTTGGGCGTCTCAGGGTGGATCCTTCTTTGAATGGTGATGGTAGCCAATTCTCTACATCTGTGGTTCTCCTTCAGGCAACACAGTCCTGGTTATTCCCTCTGCCTCCTGGAGATCTTGTGAGGACTATTACTAAGAAACAATTGCAAAGCACACTGTGAATGTGGACTGCTATGGAGATGCAACTAAACAAAAATAGTAACAATGTTAATGATGGCTCTGTCATTTGGGAACCTGTATAGTCATCATTGTAACGCTTTAGTTCACTGAAGGAAATATAGTTCTTATGAAATTATTGGCTTGAAAACTTCAACAGGGAGGACATTTTCAGGTGAAGACCTCGCTTGAAACCCTGCAGATATTTAGTTTCTGGGAGTAACGTATAGCACTTGTTTGGTAATCCAGGAAAACATCCTTGGTTCTACCATTAGTGGTAACGCCCATCCTGTCCTATGCCCCTCCTCTGTTGTAGACAATGAGAATGGCCCAGTTTCTAGACAGCCAATTCAGATTGAGGTTTCACTTAACTTTTTCCTTCCTATGACCTTTTTTGGAAACTGGCTTTTATTTATTTATTAAAAAAAAATTTTTTTTTAACGTTTATTTATTTTTGAGACAGAGGGAGACAGAGCATGAACAGGGGAGGGGCAGAGAGAGAGGGAGACACAGGCTCTGAATTGTCAGCACAGAGCCTGACGCGGGGCTCAAACTCACGGACCGCGAGATCATGACCTGAGCTGAAGTCGGATGCGTAACCGACCGAGCCACCCAGGCGCCCCGGAAACTGGCTTTTAAAGGAAGAACAAAGTGGGTGAGGTTTAGAGAGTAAGAAGTCCTCACTTTTTGGGGGGAACTTACTTTTCTGTTTGTGTGTACCAAGACTGACTTGTAAGTAAGTCTGACCACCAGATCATCTCCTCCTAGGGAGAGAAACCTGCTAGGTAGAGCTCTATGGGAGCCTGGGAGTTTAGGGGGGCTGTCCTGTGACGGGGACCTTGGGGCTTTAAGTACCCGTCTCTTGACCCTGAGGAGGCTTCAAAAACTCTTCTTTAGTCATTTTCACTTACATCATTCAGAAAAAAGAAATTTATTCTGTCCTTATTCTGTCCCAGAGTTTTTGTTAGACATCAGCATTTTTCTTTCAGGATTCACAAATTAAGTATGCAAGATGAGATGGTATCTTTTGGCAGGTGAGTGGATACGCTCTAGAAGCCTGGAGTCTGTGAGTCCAAAGAGTCGTGGTGGTGCTTTTCATTTGAAAACGGTTTTATACTTCACAAAGAGCTCTCACTTGCGTTGTCTCATTGGCCCCACACTTTACCCACAGATGTAGTGATTACTGTCCCTTTTCACAGTTGAGGGCCCTGAAAAGGTTGAGTGGCCAACCTATGGTCACAAAACAGTCAGAGCCAGCCCTCTAACTCACTTTTCTGTTCCAAGTCCAGTCTTCTCTTTCCACGGCATTTAGGTGCTCATCCCTCTTACCTCCACCAAACACCAAGCAATGGGGCTGAAAAAGATCATCTTTAAAGGTCTTTCCAGCCTCAAACACCCTGTAATTTATTGATTCTAAGATTTTTTCGTTTCAAAGAAAAAAAAGATGAAAAAAGAAATGGTTTGAAATATCTCCTGGCCCTCTCCCCTTCTCCTCCAATGAGACGTAGTTGGTTCTGTGACATATAGGAAAACGGTGAAAGTGATCAACATAGTTGAGCACATGGCCAATGGTGGAGTCTGGATATGGACTTTAGCCATGCTCTTGCCATTGTACCATGACGATAAGAAACATCTATAAACATCTTTGGGACCAACTTTAAAATCATTGCAGGTAGTTGCATCTGACAGAATTGCTTGAATGAAAAAATAAGCATGACTCTTCCCTGTGAATTTTCAGGGGATGCAATGATTTGTTTTTAGGTCGTAGAAAGCCTCTTCAGAGGAATAAAGTATGCATAAACCATTATGTACAGAAGCAATTGAGCCTTTTGTCTTAACTCATGGCCTATTTAATTATAACCTGCTTTTAAATTCCATGACAGTTAGTAAGCAGGAGGAAAGGACCTAACATATAA